ACTTTAGGTTAATGGGAAAACAATTACCGAAAATATATAGGAATGAAAGGACTTAAAACCCTAACATAATACTCTCAATATTCATACAGACTTTTACAGATTGTAAAATACAAAAAAAAAGACACCGTCTTCAACGGAGTCTACTATGTTGAAGTGAACTGTAGAGACTCAACTTGACTTACCGATATCTGTAGGTGTATCTTAAGCAAAAGTATTTGTCTGTAAGAAAACGGGCCAGATTTGTTTATTTAAAGAAAAAAACTAACTGCACAATAAACTTCTTTGTGGACAGTCAAACGGCGCTAAAAGCAATACCTTCATAATGAGTATATTTCAAAAATGTTCACTAGTGTAAGAAAGCAATAGACAAACTGAGTGACCCATAGACGTGCGCTCTATATATATTTGTGTCTTCATTCGCTCCACCATTCTCTTGCTACGAGATTGATATATCTTGGTATAGCTTTGTAATTATCAAATATACAAATATAAAATTTACTCCTAATTTTATATAAATATATATGTATATTGTTATTTACATATATATTTATATATAAATAATTTAATTGTTTTGATAACGAGTCTCTGCAATGACTTTAATCAAAAATTAAAATACATAACAGATCGGCAAGGAAGTAATTTCGTTTCTGAAGTATAGATATGTATAAAGTTTAATAATGTATAAAAAGTTATATATATTAATATAAAGAAAATTTGTGAAATCGGAAATTACTTTCTTGTCACTCCAATATATAAAAAATATAATTATTAAGGATTCGATTTGGAGCTGTTTGAGTTGTTGTAAAGAATAAATGATATATAAGTTTTATATACAAAACAAATGAATAGTAATAATATAATTTATGTAGTAAATTTGTTAAAATAATTTAAATAATTTTTTATAAATAATACAAATAAAAAAATATGTAAATAAAAATACAATGTATATGTGATGTAAAAGAAATACTACAATTTTTACTTAGATTTAGCTTCATTTTAATACTAAGAAAATATATATATATATAGAAAAGGCTTATAATAACACCAAAATTAAAAAATAATATGATTAATAAAATTAATTTGTTTACAATTAACTCATAAAGACTCGTACATTAAAAATAAAATCCTAAAATATACTTTACTATGTGCGTTTAACAGCGTCTTCGGATGGCGGCCGGACCCAACCACCATAACGTCGCTCCATTTCTCGTGCTACAGCCAGACATAAATGATCCTGTCCCGGATTGGCAACAACCTGTATGCCCATCGGCAAGTTGCGTCTATCCAAACCGATCATACAATTGGTCACTGGCAAACCAAGCGTGTTGAATATTGCCATATACATTGGCTCTAATAATTTATGATAGATTTGATAATGCTGATGTGCTGTATTCGGAAATGTTGGATACAAGAACACACCATCTGTGCCAAGTAGCTCTTTGAATTCAGTCTTTAGTGCATCAATGATAGTGGCCAGATGTTTGTGTCGTGAATTCGGTATGATTTTCATGAAATTCTGTAAATGGCCGAATATCACAGATGGCAGTATGCTATCCGAACAACCAAAGAAATATTTAACAGTTTCGGTGCATACAGTTTTGGGTCGTTCACCTTCTTCAGTTTTATTATATATGGTTTCAATATTTTTCATAGTCAACATAGCTGAAAGTGAAATATCAAGTGAGAATTTCATTTTCCTTATGTTAACGCGTTTTGCATTAAAATCCGTAGCAACACGATTAATGGCTGCATGCAAATCACGGCTAAGCGGTCGCATCATACCTGAAGGACCATCATTATCCATGAAATAGAAACGTATGCTTTGTACACTAATTTCTTTATCAAGCGTTAATTTCGGACCTAATGGATCGTTCATACATTTTAAGAGTAGTGGTAAATCTTTAGCGTAACGTGTCATTGGAGCAATTGTAAAGAAATCTCCCCATTTTGGAAAATCACTAGTTGGATGATGACCTTTAAATGATACCGCATATGGTGTGGGTTTATGTCCCCAAATACCGCTAAACATAGCAGGTAAACGTGATGAACCACCAATGTCAGAAGTTAATCCTAATAATGAAGCACCACTTGCTAATAATGCTGCTTCACCACCCGATGAACCACCTGGAGTACGTTTCAGATCATATGGATTTTTTGTTTGACCAGTGACATTGTTATAAGTTTCCCATAGTAAACATAATTCAGGGGTATTGGAGACAAGCAATATTATGCCTCCGGCACGTTTTATTAATTCTACGACAGGCGCATCTGATTTGGCGATTTGTGGTGTTTTGAACACACGTCCCGCTTGATTTGTCATACCGTTTACAGCGATACTCTCTTTCACTGTCACTGGTATGCCAAGAAGCGGTGTATGTTCTTCCATTTCTTCCACACTATTTATGCCAAGTTCAATTACGCGATCCACTTCACGTGCCTCCTTCAATGCTTCTTCAAAGCGATCTTGTACGATTGCATTGATGAGTGGATTCACCTGCTTACACCGCTCGATATAGGCTTCAACGACCTCTTCGCTCTTAATCTGAAAGCAGAAATGAAAGATATAATAAAGTTTTAGTTAATAAAAAAACTTAAATAAAAACTTACATAATATATGAACTTTTTATATTATGTATATTGTCTATTTAGTATATATGTCAAAAATATATATAAGTAAATGAAATGATAATAAAATTGGACTTTCAAAAACTGGTAAATGATATTTGATTACCGATTCGTTAAAAAATTATGCACGGTTTTCTTTTTTACCTATACGACATAAATTGTAAGTTTCTACTTTCTTCAAAAATAGTTTTACTTATCCTATTTTTTGAGTTTTAGTTCTTAACTGGTATTCGTGCAGTCTCTTCTTTCTCGGGTACCTTCCAAGAACATATAGTCTCTTCTTTCTCTTTACAATATCTACATATCCGCATATATGTGATACGAAGCTTGTTTAGGTGCTAGTTGAACCTATAATGTTCTGTTAGTATTCTAGTTATAATATCTAAGTCGTAGAAGACCTAACCTAAGTCGTTCTTCTTGAAGGTTGTAGCTTTTTGCAAGCGATTTGATATACATATGATATACCTAATAGGTTGTTAAAAGATAGAGTTCTTTGGTTTTCTTCTATATTCTTTAATAAAAAACAAATTATTACTTTATTCCACAATATAAACTTAAATATAAACAACCAATTAAATACGGTTGTAAATGCAAGGATGCTGCTCTTTTTCTTCCAAGCTCGTTTCCCTCACAGCAAATTTTGGTACACATAGAATTTATAATCGATTGGTTTTGCCAAGTACAGTCAGCTGTTCTTATCAATCTAAGACCGATTTTGATGTTAACAAAATAAGATCTGAGTGCCTGGTTATCAATCACAATTGTTTTTTTTTTTCAAAATTTGATCTCACCATTCTTATCATACTCTCACATCATACTTAATTCTAACATGCAGTGAGCTGAGAGTGACCATAATTGACGATACCTAACTATGGTACAATGATCAAACACCAGAAAGGTTATGAAAATTTGTGAAGTGCTATGTTTACCTTGAAAAGGAAAGTACTATCAATAGCAAATATTATATATTGTTATCGAAATGTTTGAGGAACAAAATCGCAAAAAAAGTTTGTACGAAGGAAGAGGAAGAAAACGGCCTTCCATTCAAATAATATGCAATATCACGATTCGTTGATGTAGGTCAAGTAACTAAATTATACTTTGATTGGTTTTGTACTTTAGCGATATTTTTACAGATCTAAAAAGAATACTTCAACAATAAAGTCATGTCCGAAACCTGGTACTTGGAATAGATATTCAAACTTGGGATAGATATTTCAACTTGGAATGTTGGAATAGACTTGACTTGCTATAGAGAGAGAGAGTACACAGATAAATGAAATTGATATTTGAAAAATATATATTATTGTTTTATAATAGCTGATGGTAGAACTTATTGAATAACGAGTAGGAAGCTTTAAGATACCTCGTACTTTGGAAATTATTGCTTTAAATATTTCATAGAACTCTGTAATGATCTCATATGAATTATTGCTTTCTTAATTACTTTGTTTATTTCTTATTTACTGAGATACGTCATTTTCCATATCAATACACTTAGAAAAACATTTGCGTAATTATAGGCAATTTGCAATTAATTGAACAGGAAATTGCATCCAAAAAAATGATAAATACGTTATTAGTTGAAAACAAAACTTATTTTTTATAATTTTAAATAAAATTTCTAGTTAAAAACTTATTATTTAAAGTAAGTTATTATTTAAAATAAGTTTTTAATAAAAATTTTTATTTTAATTGCAAAAGTAACTTGCTCGAAATGATTAATACTTAATTACTCATAAATTGCGCAAGCGGAGTAACTAAAATCCATTTAAAGGTCTTCAACTAGAATATTTCAACATTGAAATTTTTTATATCATATATGATATTAAATTATTTTACTGTTTTGACTACAGAAGACAACTAAAATCTATGGTTCAGTGAATCTGGCTTCAAAACGAAGGCTTGGATTTTTACATTAATAATAATAATTTTTTTTACTTTTCGCGATTCAAAATATTCGCTTTAATTTTGACTAGAAGCGATGGCAATGTTTTTCAATGACTTCAGGCAGCCATAAATATACTGAACGAGTAGAAATGTTTTTAATGCAACTGCGGTTACTTAGCAAAGTAAAAACAATTGTACAATAAACATAATATTTGAATTATCAAGTACAAAGATACAATGAAGCATGGGGCATTTTATAGCTTTTAATTTGAACTACCTTCGAAGTGTCTTGAAAGCTTGGCACGCGGCGGTATGGCAGATACATGAATCGACGCAGTTGAATTGTTAGAGATACTTGTTTCCATATGCTGAATGCATTAATAAATTTATACAGATACATCTCTATTTATTAAATTTGAAATATGTCAAGTGATATATAAAAATAAGTGGCTACGAATTAATCTAGACGAATGACAGTGACACGCATTGAAAATGCCGCTACAGAAAGGAACGATACCATTATAGTCGGTCTGGTACAAATACAGAGCAAATTTTAATATAAAATCAAATGTACATATGTAAAAGTATTTTATTAATTGAAAAAGTTACATCATTTGCAATATCAACAATTCCGACAACACGAATCAAGAAGTACTGGAACCGAGCCGAACAAATAAGTCTTTATTTCGCCGTTTAACTTGAAACTCAATCATGAACCCTAATAAAAAATAACCATGTATTCAAAATCAGTATTTAGTGGCAGTAAGAAATGTGATGGGAGATTCTGTAGACCCTACAACTGTGAACTGTATATGATCTACCTCGAATCAGAAACAGTTACAAAATAAAGCTCTGTAGACTCCGGTATGCTAATCATGTATATCTCACCCATATGAACTGAGAAGTTTGCACAGATAACTTTTTCTGGCAGATTTTATTGTAAGCGTTAGTGAAGCAAAACATAAATAGATGAAATTTACTGGTGCCCAATTGGCTAATATCGGCACTTCAAAGGTTTTTTTTATTATGTATTTAATATAACAATAGATATTATTGTATGGTTATGGTATATAAATTATTGTATGGTTAATTGCATAAATTAAAAAATTTGACTTTTGATACAGTATTAATAACAAATATGATGTGTTACATATAGCAAAGCCTCAAATACTACCTTAAAGCAATTACAGGTAGCTCAAAACCTGGCTTTAAGAAAACTGTTTAAGATGCCATGGTATATTAGATCAACAGACATACATAGAGATCTTAGGATTGACTCAATGAAAAAATATATCAGAGACAGAACTCTAAAATTATTCACTAAAGTTGATACGCTAATTAACCCCGCCCTAACAATCCTCAAGTCCACTTCTAGACTCTCAGGAAGATATGCTGATTTAAGGTCCGTCATCAACTAAAAGACAAATATATGGTATGATTTTTTTTTTTAGCCTAGTTAAAGCCCAGTGTGGGGTAGAGATAAGCTCCCCAGCCATTATAGAGTAAAAGTACGTAATAGCACTAACTCAAGAAGAAAAAGAATCAAGATATGTTGATTATTTATAGCTAACTAAGTTATATCTTATAATGTTATTATAAACTGAAATTATAAGAATAAACATGTTTGGTGTACTAAAAATAACATCTATTAATTATTATTTCTTTGGTCAATACACTTATGCTTTTCATAAGACCATAGCGCGAAAAACAACTGTCTGTAATAGTTTCTTAACACAAATCAGTAGCAACCCTTAAATATAAGACATAACAGTTGAAAGAGTATTTTAAGATTATATAGATCTTGTAATCCTCCTTATACAGACACAAAATAATTAAAAATATAATATTCAGTCATCAAAGTCAGCGATTTGTAATTGGATTCAATGGTGAGAGACGTTTGACGTTCAAAAGACTTTGTCTTTGATTGGAAGAGATGCAATGGGCAACATGTATACGAAGAAGTGATATAGGATCACCACAGATGCCGCAGGACTATTGAGGGGCACCTCCCAGTAACTATTTGTGGGAATTGAATGAGCGAATAATTTTTAGACGTAAGAGCACAGTGATTTGATTTTTTACAGATGTATCAGAAAGTACGGCCTTATGTCATTTGAATTGTGGGAACGATCATTATCGTCACACTGTATTTAATGAGAATTAATTAACTAATTATATTTAATAAACTATATATTTAATTTATTAATTTATATAATGATATAGTTAATTAATTGTAGTTAATTCTCATTAAATACAGTGTGACTAATCAGAAAATATGCATTTCAGATACATTAATATGCAAGTGTCTAGCGTTAAGAAGAAAATTTCATGGATTTTTTCTACCTCAATGCAATTCGTCCAATATATGAGTATATTATGTATAATATTACAGGTATTAAATGCAATAGCTAGCAAGATAGTTAGAACATCCATTCCTCCTTCTGTTATTATGAACTCTAATAATCTAGAGGTCAAATGTTCGTATAAACCTTAAGTAGCGCACATTTGAAATTATCTTTAAAATAAAATATTAATTAAAGTAAAAACGTGCAAAAAGCTTGAAAAGTTTTAATTCAAAAATACAATTTTTTTTATTAATTTAAGACATTAAAATAAATTATGGTTCAAAAAATATATAAGCATTAATAATAGGTTTATAAAATTTTTTTGAAAATGATATTAAATAGCAAACTGACAATCCAGCGTCTTCGCCATAACGACCTCAGTTGAATACGTGTATTTGGAGCAGCGACCGCAATCATAGCAAAAATATTTTATAAAAATATTGTATCTATGAGATACTATAGGAGTATGTGCATAATGTTGTATAATATACTAGTATAAGCAGATGTGCGTAGAGCGCAAATGCTGACAATGTGTATGGTGTAATAATGGCAGTGCTTAGAGTATTCAACAGAGAGATATCATCATCATCACGGCTTACTAACGACAGTTCATTTTAGTCATGATATTGATGGAACCAAAGGCCAAACTGCAACATTGTAGAGACACGTAAATTTGATGTGTTAACTCAACTATTTGCACATGCTCATTCATATACTCTCTTCGTTTTCAGTATTACACATATATTTGATGTGTCTGGTAGTTGTTAAAGATATTGCAATAAATGTTAAGATAAATTAATAAAATATTTCACAACTAAAGTTAAAATGCAATCAACACCGGCAGCGTGTCGATGCAATTGTTGAAATGCAATTGTTAACTGAGTGAGGCGTGAAGAAATCTCAACATTTCAAATTACATTTTATTATTTATTTTTTCTTATATCTTAAATAATCGTTTTCATATTCACTCAATAATTAATTGTACATTAAATAATATTAAAGAGATTTTCTTAATAGTCGCAGTTACATTAAAAATCACATATCTACAGTGGCATAGTCAGAGGGGAAAGGTATTAGAGAGTTTATCCATACTTTACTCTTGACATTATAATCTGACTATAGGTATACACTGCGAAAAAAAATGTACTCTAAAACTTATTTACCAGATATTTTAATAACAATAAACATCACATATATACAGCGCCATTTCCAGTGGGAAGTTCTTAAGGAATAGATTTTCCGTCCCCTTGACAATATAATCTATCTATACACACTGCCAAAAAAAATATATTTTTAATATAACTCTTCCCTTTTTAGCACAATTTTAGTTACGACACGGCATATTATAAAATCATCTATATATATGTCTAATGCCATAATATATAACATAATATATATCATTTTACATTAAACTTAATTTCTTCTTTCAGTTTCTTCCTCATTAATCAAACCTAAGATTGTATAAGGTATATCCTCTGAATAAACAGTAAAAAAGATCTCTGCTTATATTATCTGTGCTAGGATATAAGAATACATGAAAAAAAAAAGAATTGAGACTATTGAAGAAGCGATGTGGAGCCAAGGACAGTAACACCGGTAGGCAAACATTATGAGAGGTCACAAGGTTTAAATATAATTATCTAACCATCATAACTATAAATTGTTAGATATTCTTAATACAAGCTAGAAGCATTTTATTTAAAAAAAAAATAATAAAAAATACTACGATTAAATATTTAATGTTTTTAAACTGTTACATGAACACATGTTTT